CATCCATCCATCCATCAACCATCCATCTATCATCCATCCACCTACCCACCCATCCATCCATCCATCCATCCATCCATGTATCCATCCACATATCCATCCATACAATATATCCATCCGTCCATTCATCCATCCTTCCATGTATCCATCCATCCATCCATCCATCCATATATACATCCATCCATCCATCCATCCATAGATCCATCCATCCATCCATCAACCATCCATCCATATATCCTTACATACATACAGTACATACAGTATATACATCCATTCATCTATCCATACATTCATTCATCCATCCATTCATCCATCCATCCATCCATCCATCCATCCTTCCATCCATCAACCATCCATCTATCATCCTACCATCCATCCACCCATCATTCATCCATCCACCCACCCATCCACCCATCCATCCATCCATCCATCCATCCATCCATCCATCCATCCATCCATCCATGTATCCATCCATCCATCCATCCATCCATAGATCCATCCATCAACCATCCATCCATCCATCCATCTTTCTAAACCCTTTTCTCCCTGCTCAGGGCACAAGCTGCCCTGTAAGACAACAGTCAATCAGCAGAGACACCAGTTTACCACAAGGCCAACAAATGGATAGGACAGCTGGACAGTCCCCTCACACACAAATATCTAGAGCAGCAGTGTCCAGTCCTGGTCCACAAGAGTCCTTATCCTACATGTTTTAGAGGTTTCTCTGAACAAAAACACCTGATTTGAATGAATGGGTGATTACCAAGCTTTTGTAGAATGTGAAGAGATAATTTAATTCACGATTCAGGTTTATTGTAGCAGAGAAACTAGTAAAACATCCAGGATAAAGTTCCTCCAGGACCAGGATTGAACACCACTGACCTAGAGTCACTTTGGAACCTCTACGCATACAAAACCAGAGTTTTCAAAGAAAACCCTAACAGAAATCAAAAACCACCTTGCTGTGTGGCAGAACGTATCACCCTTCAATTTGTTTCCACATCAGAGAAGTCAAAACACACAGTTGAACACAAAGCAACACCCCATTAGGACATATTTAAGTTTTTGTTGTGGTTTTGCAGCTTTCATTTCCTTCCATTTCTATGCCCTCTGCCTTCTAAAAGCCTCATTTACTCCCATCATCCCCTCGTCTTACCTTGGGGGTCAACGTCCTTCGCCAGCTTCAGGGCATCAGAGTTGGCCAAGTCAGTGTTTGCTGGGGTGACAGCCAGGATCAAGCAGCTTTCTCTGCTGATGAACTGCATGATCATGTCTCTGATCTGTTGCTCGATGTCTGCAGGCTGGTCTCCAACTGGAACCTTGGTGATCCCAGGCAGGTCAATCAGAGTCAGATTCAGAACTGAACTCAAGAAAAGAGACAAACAAGTGATTTTTCTCTTAGCTGTAGTCCAGGTAGAGTTTACATTTTTTACCCTCATATAGGAGAGGTAGTTCTCTGGATTTTATTTATTTTTTAATTGTACCACATGTTTCAAAGAAAAATAAACACCATTGAGTTAGAACACAATACAGAAGCTTGTTGTGAAATAAATCTAGAAACACTGAAGCTGACAGAAAAACTCAATCTCATTATTCTTCTGTCTCAGTTATACTTTGCTTGTAGACATTAACTTCAAATATTATACAGTTTTTGCCAAATAACTGTGTAATATGTAGGGATGTGAAGATGTTGTTAATTTAAAAGTTAATAATAGAAAATAATACATGCATTCCACTATAAATGATGAAGTACAGAGGAAGGCCATTAAACGAAAATATATAATAATAATTTATTTCTGACTGATTTGATGAGCTAAGAGCTAATCTACAAATTGAAGTGGATTCAATAGATCTGTTTATGTGTGACCCATCACATCAAACAGACGATTAAAGTCAAATTTGGTCAAAACGCTCACAGCGCATTTTCAGATTCCTGCTTTATAAGCTACATTTTGAAACCTGGATCATCCTGATATCATGAGCGGTTCCAGGAATATGACTTGATTTGTCTTCCCAATTATGATAATTCAGTAATGTTTGGTCTGAATCCTATTTTAAGTCATTCTAATGAGGAATTTATGACATTATTTTAAAGAGAAAACCTTGAACAAAAAGATAAAATGGCTTAGGTTGCAGGAAAAAAAATCAAAAACATTAATAGTTTTTACTTGAAATCGTGTTTTTTGGAGCTACTGCTCAAAAAAATGCTACAAAAATATTTAAAATTAAATTTCAGCTATTTAATTTAAACAATAATAGATAACATATTGCAAACGTTTTAATCAAAAACACTATAGCTGACACTACAGACCACCTTGTGATTTAATGTGATGACTCACGCAGTTTTCAACAGTTATTCTAATCAGGTGCGGTCAGTCCATAAAAGGAAATGGAGTGCTGCGCCACCTAATTCACCCCACAAAGTAGTTCCCCCTAATTAATATTGCAAATTACTTCTTAACTTAGCGTGTTTATAAATTTCTTGCTCTACTATTTTGAATGGAATTAATTTTTAAATTCAGATGTTTACATCTTTGGGGTGAAACTGGTCGCTGTCATGTGGATTTTATGTCATCATATTTATCCTATCTCTCCCTGCCAGCCATGATCGGAACAGGCAGCTCTGATTTGAGTCTCATTGAGGAGAAAAATGTTCTGCCCTGTCAACACATGTTGATTTCAGGTCATCCATACAATCAGTGACTTCTCCATGTGTGGCTGCAGCAGGTCAGAGGTTAACTCTGTGGACCAGCGATCATGTGTCTGTGGGATCAAACCCTGCTTGGACTTTAAAAGTGGAGAAGATTAGATGTAAATTATCTTATTTTTACTTTTAAATTGGTTTGAATTACTTCAGAAAATGTCTTTATCCATTTAACTTAAAAAATAGAATTACTTTACATTTGAATTAAATGTTCAAAAATGTTTAAAAATAAGGAGACAATTTATAAGGGTTTAAAAATGCTAATTCAGAACTACTACAACTTTTGTAACTCAGTAAGTCAAACTGGAATAATATGAATAATGAACATAAAACTGTTCAAATTCTCTTAGAAACATATGATTATTGCTGTACATGATATACAATAGCATTATTCAATTCTTATTGATGCTGGTTTTGTTTTTTGGTCAAATTTAAAGAAATAATGATTGTTCATCTACTGTAATCAAAATCAAATAGATACTATATGGATGGGTTTATTATTAAATAAGGGTTTTGTTGTTATATGTATGGTAATATTAATAATTAATTCAGGAGATGTGCAGCATATGAAAAAAGACCTGAACAGAAACAAAAACCCAGATCATAATAGAAAAAATATCCAGGCAGGAGAACAACAATAAACTATGAATATAGACAAGGAAAGAACTAATTTGGCAGAAAATATGAAGCATGATTTACCCACAAGCACAGGAGGTAGAGTACCAATAAATGTTGTCAGGTAAGAATAAAACTACTTTAATATATTTTTCTCAAGTAAAAGTAAGAAGTATTTCCACAAGAAATTACAAAAGTAAGAGTAAAAAAGGTACCTAAGTCTGTATCAGGTACAGATTTGATTAAAACATGTTTGTTCATCATTTAGTGAAGTATAGCCTGTAGAGCAGTGGAGCCCAAAGTGAGGCCACCAGGCCAAATTTGATCCACTAAGCTATTTGATTTGGCCCACCATCAGTTGACATAGTTACTAGGTTGTAACCTGTCATCTTATGTAGAAACACAGTATTTCCACTCAGTCATTTCATCCATTGGCCCAATAAGGTGCTGTAGAGCAGATAGTTTTCACTCATGGTGCTGACTTTATCCATGAAACATGAGATACAAGTAACAACAACAGATATTTAGATTCGATTTAACCACGCATGTAGATTTGCACACTTCATAAGGCCACAAGACCATATTTGATCAATTTATGAAATGAGACTTTGCTACTTGAGCAGACTTTCTCCAAGTGCACAGACTAAAACAGAAGCAGGCCGCTGCACTGGCTGCTAGCTTAATCGCTAAAAATAAATGACTTTACTTAAAAAGTATTTGTATTTCCTGTATTATATTACTGCATTTGGCCCACAGCTCAGGATAGATTTTCATTTTGGTCCTCTTGGGGAAAATGTTTGGGCACCCCTGCTATAGAGTATCCAGACATTTTACTCAATGAAGTGCAGTGATACTTCATAGTAATGTGTGATGCAGTAAAACTACTACTAAAAGTGCTATTTTCCCAACAACTTACTCAAGTAAATGTAACTGAGTAAAATGTTTTAGGTACTATGAGCTCCAAGACATTTGGACAACAAAAACAGTGATGAATCTGACTCATGGATTTGATTTAGAGCTGGTTTTGTTCTTTGTCATTTCTGTGCAACAAAACTCCAGATCTATAGATCCATATAAAACACGATGAACTGTATGTTTCTGTCCCATATTTATATGACATTAAGGGGAGTGCCAGCACTTTTTTCCCCACTTAAAGCACAGATAACGTACATTTTATTCAAGAATTTAAAATACTCCCATTTCTGGTGGTGGTGGGAGACGTCTGTTTTTCTGATTTAATAGTTAGAGTTCACACAAAACACAACCTCAGTCTGAGAAACATAAACATAAACTAATAAAATAAATATTCATCAACAGATAGCCTATTTGCACATGTAATGTTCATGTAGTTATTGATACAGAAAATGAACGTGCTCCCCACTAATATTTATTAGAGCTCTACTGATTCTAATAATGTGGATAACAACATGAAGAACTTCCTGCCAGATGAGGCCCAGGCTCCTTTCTGCTTCTGTTTTCAATCCCATCTTATTTCATTTCCAGACACAAACCAAAAGCTCTGTAGCTGCTGGATTGGATTCATTCACTGACTACATGATCATCTTTGTTTCCTGCATCCCAGTTCTAAAAATATGGCGTCTGACTCAGAGCCCGGCCCTCAGATTTCAGAGCGTTCCTGCAGACCGTCGCTCAGCCGAGCAGAGAGCCAAGGAAACGGAGGCGTACCGTGAGGGGAGTAAACCCGCAGGTTGATGGGGACGGGAGAGATGCCTTTGTTGGCCCCCGTGACCCGATCCGTCTCCGACTCGATCTCCTGACGAACCTCGTCGAAGTCTGTGAACTTTTTCCCCTTGCAGTGGAGAAACTCAGCCCATTCTGAAAGGAAGAGGAAGATTAGTGGAAGCTGCAACAGGTGGGACAGAATGCTGGCAGAGGGGGTAATAAAACAGGCTGATTAAAAAGGAAGAACTGGTCATTTTGTGTGTGAGCGTACAAATGTGCTGGATGGCGTGGGCGTGGGTGTGAACGCGTGAGTACCCACCAGCATTTGCGCTGATCAGCTGCAGGACCAGGGGCCTGCGGGTGACAATTCCAGATCCACGGGGCAGAAAGTCCCTGTGAAAATCAAACATAACCGTGTCAGAGTGCTCGCATTTAAAGATGATGACTTCAACAGTTTCTGCAGGGGTGAATGCCTGAAACAGGAAACCTTAAAGGGGCAAAATCATGTAAAATCAACTTTTTTGAGTTTTATATCATGTTATAATGTTATACTCTCATAAAAAACATGCCCAAAGCCTTGCTCTGACTCATTCATGCATGTTTGAGAAATCCTGCAGCATTTAGGAAGCCATGCTGAGGAGCAAAAAGACAGGTGGGGACCAGAAACACCTTTTGGGACCAGAAACACCTTTTGGGACGTGTCTTTAAGCCGAACTTCCTCATCACGGAGCAAACGACTCCTGCAGGCTCTCGGCAGTAAGAGAGCAAAGTGAAAGTGAAACTTCAACTGTCTGCTGCTCTTAACACTACTGCTAACTCATTGAAGCTCTTTTCAGATTCAAAATACATTTGAAGAAATGTATTTTCAGATGTCAAGTAAACTGCATCATAGCGCACAGGCGACCCC